TCGGTGGAAGTCCGACGAAACAGCAACATCAAATATTCTCTCTCTCTCTCTCTCTCTCTCTCTCTCTCTCTCTCTCTCTCTCTCTCTCTCTCTCTCACACACACAGTCGGTGGAAGTCCGACGAAACAGTCTATCAACATGCTTCTTTTGGTGGAGTTGTGTGTAGCGAACATGACAACACACACACACACACACACACAGACATACACAGCACGAATCCGCCCAATAGAGAAAGCCCTACAATCTGTACAGGATCAAAAAGTTCAGCCGGCTCTCGTTCATACGTCAAAGTTCTCGATGATTTTCCCTTAAAAGCCCTTACAGATCCTCGTCTGTGATCACGTCAACTTTGACTTTTGACAATTTACTCTCTTAAACCCCTCCTAGGACAAAACGTGGACAACTGTCAGTGTCAACTGTTCACTAAGAATTTCTCAATGAACGTGACTCACAACGGATCAAGCTAACTGCTCCGACAATCTCTCTCTCTCTCTCTCTCTCTCTCTCTCTCTCTCTCTCTCTCTCTGTGTGTGTGAGAGAGAAAGTACATGTACAATCCGCATCAGGACTCCGAGAGTTTTCTCACTAGTACTACGCGATCTCTTTCCTCGACGAACCCTACGTTTACGTTCTGAAGAGCATTCCCCTCAACAAGACAATTCCAACATCGACGTCAGAACGAGGGAGAAAAGAGGCCGACCGAGAGCCAGGCAGACACCAAGTAGCAGATACCGCAACCGCACACGATGAGGGAGGGAGCTCCAACATAAGACCACAGGGGAAAGGAATCACTACCACGTGGCGACAGGACACACCCGCCAATTGCCATGAAACGACTCATTCATCGACGGTCTGTTCCACGTGGGGTAAAAACTTTCCATCAAAGGTAAGGACGACACGAGGCTCTCCCTGCTTCCCTGTCTTCTTCTCCACTTTGCAGACGAAGTCGATGGCCGACATCACACCATCGCCGTGCTGCTCATTGATGATCTCCTTGATTGCTTCGCCGTATTGCATCACAGCTTCGTAGACTCGGTAAACCATAGGCTCCTGGAGCAGGACACCATCATCGAATCCCCTGAATGGGGGTTTCCTCATAGCTTCGAGAATGTCATGATTCTTAGGCGAGCCAAGGGAAGGAACCGCCTGCACGAGCCTCTTCTCCGTCTCCGGATGTAGCTTGGCCTGATTAAAGAATAGCTGCGCAGTGTATGCGTTCGTCAGCTTGCATTCCTTCGCGATCTGATCGAAGGTCTTCCCAGATTTAGCTTTGCATTCCATGAGTCTCGCCACCAGCTCCTCCTTCTCTTCATTCTTCGGTCCACTCATCTTGCCCGATCACCTTCCTCCTCCTCCTCACCTACCTCCTCCTCAGCACCTTCCTCCTCCTCAACACCTTCCTCCTCAGCACCTTCCTCTACTCAGCACCTTCCTCTACTCAGCACCTTCTTCCTACCTCCTCGATCACTCAACCCTAGACCCTCTCCTTCTCTCGTGTGGCTACACCAGATGGAGGAGATGGAGGAGATGAAGGAGATGAAGGATGTGAAGGACACCCGACACCTCAGAGTGAAACGCCCCACAAGGTCGTAGTCAATGGTCACAGCTTGCGAGACTCACACGGCGGCGAAGGGTATTCTCGCCTCCAGCGCTCGCGGACGAAGACGCGTACTACCGGTAGCCGACACTGCAAAGCTTGGCTCGCGCTGGCGGAAGGAGAGAGCGGCACGCGCGCCCAACACTCCACTCCCTCCGCCCCTCGACTGCGAGACTGGTGTGAGACTCCAACCGCACTACTACTACTACTACTACTACTCCCGTGATAGCGACTGGCCGCTAGTTGGTCGGCCTGTGTGTGTCATTTTGGCGGTTATCAGCGGTTTCTTCCCGGCAGGGCCCATTTCGGTTTGTACCTGGGACGCGGACTTTTCAGACCGCAGATTTTCTTTTTTTTTGGCTTTTCTCAAAAATTCTCCATTGCAATTTGCCTTCCATTGCAATTGTACCTCCTCCACGTGGGATGTAAGGGAGGCCCTGCGACCCCTGTATATGTCACTATGTACATGTATTGCCTTGGGCACTGGCCCCAATGATAAAATCTCTTCTTCGGTTTTTGAAAAAAAACAAATCAGTTGCAAATTCAACTTAGAGGATGGGATCCTCAACAATACATCCCGGTAATTCGAAAAACAATAATAAAAAAATCCCGGTAATTTGTATTACAAAAAAAAAAACACAATACATCCCGGTTGGTATCTGGAAGCATCATCCAGCTTACCTTACAGGCTGAAGAGCCTACGAGTCTTTTGCTACGGACGCTGTAGCTTGGTGGCTGCTGTGTCCGCAGATTTCCCATATCCCCACGGTTCTTGCACAGGTCAAACCCAAATAAAAGACGGAAAAAAATACATACCCTGATGATGCCACGTCACTTGGATGAGAGTCATAGAGTTTTTTTTTTTTTTTTTTTTTAAGAAAGTTGCCAAAGTTCATTTCAAAATTCAAGGAAAGGGGCCGGGGACCCCACATTTTAAGAGAGTCATAGAGTTGGGGCCGAAGGCCGGGGTTTTCCCATGCACCAACTTAGGGCACGCTCACAGTAGGTACCCAAATTCCCAAAAAGTGGTAAAATGGGAACGGCCGTTTTGAGGAAATGCGGCCCTGGCCGGTCACACTGTGTTCCCAACACGCTGACGACAAGGTCGCTACATCGCAGATCCCATTGAAAAATCCCAACCCGCTGACACACTGTGTTCCCAACACGCCGACACACTGTGTTCCCAACACGCTGACGACAAGGTCACACTGTGTTCCCTACAAACAAGCCCTGAAGGATATACTGAGAAAGTCCGATTGAAAGAATTTAGAGCTACTTCAGGGCTTGTTTGTAGGGAACATCAGAGACAAACAAGAAGCAGAAGAAGACTCGGGAATCCACCAACAGTCCTCACCCCACTCCGGCAAGACTTACTGCAGCAGAGCCACCATCTCTACTGCTGCTATGCCCTATTGCTGTCCTACCAACTAGCCCCTTCGCTAGCAGGACGCGCGATACCTTCCCCTCTCGATCCCTTTCCTGCCCGTTACTCAGAAAAAGGTACGGGAATAGACTGCAAAAGTCCTAAAAAAGCCCCCACTCCCGCAATTTCTCAAACAGATCCTCCCAAGGATCTCCAACACTGTCATATTCCCTGCCGAGCTTCCAAGCCTCACACCCCCCATCCTGCTGGGTTACAGGGCAACACAACTCACCCGAGCTCCGGCCGGCGTCGTCTCAGCAGCAACCCTTGGTTGTCCCGTGGGATGCCCCCCCAAAGCACCCCCAGATGTCTCTACCAGGCCAGCGTCGTTCTGGCGTCGAACAGCCTTAGGTCACCGAGTATTACAGCCTTGAAACTACCTAGAAGAGATTGCCAGGAAACCCCAGGATCCG